GGGGATTTTTTGGTGGATTTTTTGGGGATTTTTTTTGGATTTTTTTGGGATTTATTGGGATTTTTTAGGGATTTTTTGGGGATTTTTTTTGGGGATTTTTTGGGGATTTTTTTGGGGGATTTTTTGGGGGTTTTTTGGGATTTTTTTTGGGATTTTTTGGGATTTTTTGTGGATTTTTTGAGGATTTTTTGGGGATTTTTTGGGGATTTTTTAGGGATTTTTTGGGGATTTTTGGGGATTTTGGGGGGATTTTTTCAGGGATTTTTTGGGTTTTTTTTGGGGATTTTTTGGGGATTCCTTGGGGGATTTTTTGGGATTTTTTGGATTTTTGGGGGATTTTTTAGGGATTTTTGAGGGATTTTTTGGGGATTTTTTGGGATTTTTTAGGGATTTTTTTGGGATTTTTTAGGTGGATTTTTTGGGGATTTTTGGGGATTTTTTTGGGGATTTTTTGGGATTTTTTGGGGATTTTTGGGGATTTTTTTGGGGATTTTTTTGGGATTTTTTGGGATTTTTTTGCTGACTTTTTAAGGATTTTTTGGGGATTTTTTGGGATTTTTTTCAGGATTTTTTTTGATTTTTTTTTTATTTTTTTTTTATTTTTTTGGGATTTTTTTGGGATTTTTTTGGAATTTTTGGGGATTTTTTGGGGATTTTTTAGGGTTTTTTAAGGATTTTTTTTTTTATTTTTGGGGATTTTTTTCTGATTTTTTGGGGATTTTTTTGGGATTTTTTTCAGGATTGTTTGGGGATTTTTTTGGCAGAATTTTTGGAATTTTTTTAGGGATTTTTTTTGGATTTTTTGGGATTTATTTTGGGATTTTTTTGGGAATTTTTTGGAATTTTTTGTGGATTTTTTGGCATTTTGGGGGGAATTTTTGGGTATTTTTGAGATTTTTTCGGGATTTTTTGGGGGGAATTTTTGGGGAATTTTTGGGAAAAATTTGGGATTTTTTTTGGATTTTTAGAGGATTTTTAATTTGTTTTTCTTTTATTTTTTGGGGGATTTTTGGGGATTTTTTTGGGAATTTTTGGGGATTATTTGCGATTTTTTGGGGGATTTTTGGGGGATTTTTTGGATTTTTTGGGGATTTTTTGGGGATTTTTTTGGATTTTTTTCGGATTTTTTTCGGATTTTTGGGGGATTTTTTGGAGGATTTTTTAGGGATTTTGGGGGATTTTTTGGGGATTTTTTGGGATTTTTTTGGGGGGATTTTTTATAATTTTTTGGGGTTTTTTTTTGGTTTTTTTAGGAATTTTTGGGGAAAAATAGGGAAAATTTTGGGGGGCTTGGAGGATTTTTGGGGGATTTTTTTTTATTTTTTGGGGATTTTTGGGGGAATTTGGGATGATTTTTGGGGATATTTTGGTTTATTTTGGGTCATTTTTGGGTCATTTTTGGGGACATTTTGGGGGATATTTTGGGTGATTTTTGGGGTATTTTTTGGGATATTTTTTTTATATTTTTGGGGCCATTTTTGGGGTCATTTTTGGGATATTTTGGGTGATTTTTGGGATATTTTTGGGGATATTTTGGGGAAATTTTGGGGCCATTTTGGGGCCATTTTTGGGATAATTTGGGTGATTTTTTGGAAATTTTTGGGATATTTTTGGGGCCATTTTTGGGGCCACTTTTTGGGCCATTTTGGGGCCATTTTTGGGGACGTTTGGTGTCTTTGCCCCCCCAGGTGTGCGGGGACATCCACGGACAATTCTACGACCTCAAGGAGCTCTTCAGGGTGAGAGACACACCTGGGCACACCTGGGCACACCTGGGCACACCTGGGGACTCCTGGACACACCTGGGCACACCTGGGCACACCTGGGCACACCTGGGCACACCTGGGGACTCCTGGACACACCTGGGCACACCTGGGGACACCTGGGCACACCTGGGCACACCTGGGATACACCTGGGATACACCTGGGGACACCTGGGATACACCTGGGATACACCTGGGGATACCTGGGGACACCTGGGACACACCTGGGATACACCTGGGATACACCTGGGACACACCTGGGGACACCTGGGACACACCTGGGGACACCTGGGA